CATGGTGTTGGCGTAGAGGATGTTGAGGCCGCTGCCTCCGTCCATCAGCACTTTGGTGAGTCAGGTGTTGCCGATGATCGGGTCGACGACGAGCGGGTATTGCCCTAGGTTTGGGACATAGTTAGGGTGGTCTTCCCGATCGAAGGTGATCGCTTCCCGAGACCGATTGAGGTCTTTGGGAGTGGCTACCTCGACCGAGAAGACCTCCGGCGTTCTCTCTTTTTCGTTGATTGCGCCGTGAGGCACGCTGAAGGCCCGCCGAAGATCATGAAGGCATTGTGCACTTCGGGGAACCCGTCGTCCTTGTCGTTATCTCCGTCGCCGACGCCCTTCTTCCTGGCATCATCGTTGGGGAGCCCGAGCTTGGCGTAGTAGCATCGGAGCATAGTGCATTCTTCGAGGGCATGCTTCATAGGGCCCTGGTGGTAAGGGCAGGGCTTCTTAAGCATATCGTCGAATACTCCGGGGCCCCTACCGGGGCCTCGGAGATTCTTGCGATCCGCGGCTGCGACAAAATTGGCTTCGAGGGCCTCTTGCTTCCCCGGGTGTCCCTTTTTCTTTTTCTTGGGGAAATGGGAGGCCGAGGCCCCTGGGGCCTAGTCCCTCCGCTTCCCCTTTGTGTCGCCTTCGGGGAAGATGGCCCCGATGACCTCTTCACCCAAGGCGAAGTTGGTGGCGATGTCGAGGCCTTGCGGCCAGCGAGGTTGGTGCGTTTCACCCCAACTCTCGGACTAGGTCTCGGCAAGACGTGCGGAGAGGAAAGCTGGACCAGTTCCGAGTGCATGACTCAAGCAACTCGATTACTTGCTTGGAGAATCACCGGATGAAGTCTCGGAGAGACTTGTTCGACTTTGACGACAACTCTTGAGGTCCCGGGGAGTTCCGGGCGCATATATGTGCCCTAGAAATTCCCAACGAAGATCTTTACCAAGTCGCGCGCCGATTGTGGATCTGCAAGGGAGGGAGGTGTTCGAGCTAGGCTGCACCACCGTCCCGATAGGAATAAGGGAGGTTGCGGATGATGAGCGGTCATCGTTCGCGCCGCCTAACCGACAAGCCGGTGATGTCGGCCGACCACAACTTCGAGGTTGGTCTCGTGCCATTTATACTTTCTTGAGGTTGGCGGTTGTAGAAACCGGGCGGGGAACGGGGCACCGTGGATGGCCTTGCTAAAGACTCGAGGGCTAGGTGGCCCAGGAGAAGGACTGCGGTCCTCGCCACTGTCGTAGCGGCCGCCTCGGTGCGGGTGGTAGCCTCGGGCGGGCCCATCGTCGTCGTGGCGTCGTCGCCTGCTGACCACATCGTTGTCATCTTGCGCCTCGCGTTGGTCGTAGAGGCGGTCATGCACTGAGGGGACCCTGAGGCGGTCGTGCACTGAGGGGACCCTGAGGCGGTCGTGCATTGAGGGCCGTTTCGAGGTGTCCTCACACCGTCGAGACGCGGAGCTTTTGGCCTGCTGTACCGCGGCGGTCTCGAGAAGGTCTCGGAGCTCACTGTGAACCCGTCGCCCCTCCGTGGTAGAGGGCTCGGGCATCGCCCGGACTAGCATTGCCGCTGCCGCGATGTTATGGCTAGCGCGATTGAAGATTGGGGGTTGCTCACTCTCCTCGTCGTTGTTGATGCGGCGGTGTACGTCGTGGGCCCTTCGCCGGGCTCTTCCGCCATCACCGCGACCCTACTGCTCCTGCTCGAGAGTGTCTCAGAGCTGCTGCTGCAGGAGTCGGTCTTGGTCGATCTTTGCCTGGAGCTCACGGAGCTGCTCCAGGTCTAGGCGTCGAAGTTCCTCGGGGGAGGTGTGCACGTTCCGTGCTTCCCGAAGCTCGACGAGCGGGGGTGTGGCGTCACCTGCCCTTTGTCGGAGCGAGGAGCGGTTGCCTTCCCCTTCATTCTCATTATTTGCCCCTGGCATTCCGAGCCCAATGTGGAAGCATTCTCGAGTGGGATCGTAAGTGCCTTCGTCATCAGAGTCGGAGCAGCCGAAGCAGTAGTCGCTTGCGGCAAAAAAGCGGCGCATAGCCTCAAGGTCGCGAAGCCCGGAGAAGTCGGCTCCGGCCCACGTCTCGTCCTCTTTCGAGGAGTCAGTGTGGGTGTGGGTCGAGCTTGCGGTGGAAAAGTCGAGGGCGAATCGTTGGTGGCGTCCCGAGGGCTCCGCGTGAGCGGAAGCGTAAGTGGCGGCGGCGTTTCTCAACCCAAAAGGGTATGGAGATGGGGCCATCGCCGGGCCCTGCTCCGCCGTAGTTGGCTCCTCAGGTGGTGGCGGTGGGGAACTTGACGACGGGGCGTCGCTGCGCATCACCAGTGTCTTTCCCCTACCCAAGCTTAGGCCAGACAGGTCCCCAACCAGGGACCTCGTACCAACAGCCGGGCATGGGATACCGGCGGAGCGCGGCGTGTCGCCCTGAGGTCGTGCGGTGTCGGGGTGGTCGCGCTCGCGCCGTGACTAGCGAGCGCGACGAGAGCGGTGGCTCGGACGCCGCCTGCGCCCGGGCTGCTGGTGCGCGACGCCGTCGTCGGCCAAAGGGGCTCTGGGTGGGAGGAGTACTAGGTCGTACTCACGTCCTAGAGATATAAACTCTAGGCTCCCGAACCAGATCACCGTGCTGAGACGTAGTGGGCGTATGGGATCAGCCATCCGGAACTTGTTGGGACGATCGAGCTAACACGTAGAGGCCCCTACCTAGCGCGCCAACTGTCGGTGTTTCGGACCGGGGGGTCCTCAACCAACCAGTGAATTTGAACTGCATGCCCCTAATTCCGGATGGTGATGCAAAGAGACACAAGGTTTATACTGGTTCAGGCAATTGGCGCCCTACGTCCAGTCCGAGAGATCGATCTTGTATTCCTTTCACCGAAGTGCTTGTGGTAGGGGGTTACAAGCTATGTGAGAGAGGGAGCTAGTCCTAGGTCTCGGCGTGGAACGGTGCGGGCTGCTTGAGACGTTGCTCTCGGGCAGCTTGGGAGAGCGTGTGTTACAGAGTGTTGTTTGTGTGTGAGAGCATGGTTTTTTCATAGTTTTTTTGTTCCACCCTAGAGCTATCCCTGGCTGCTTCCTTTTATAACCGGAAGGAGGGAGCCAGGAGTACACGAGTGAGCTACATGTGGAGCCTTCTGTAGTCCAGTCCTGTAGCAGCATGGTGTTGGGAATGGCGATCAGTACTTGACTGACGCGCCGTGCTGGCCAAGCTTGAGGTTGTTGAGGTCGTGGGGGTCCTTGTTGATGTCTAGTCAGTATGGCCTCCACGGTAGGAGACATGCCGTGCCTCGTGGATTCTTGATTTGGTGGAGTCTGAGGCCTAGCGGGTCTTTATGGTGATCATGCCGAGGCACCTTTGCCGAGGCCTCAGAGGTGACCAGTGTATGGTACGGGGGTCTCGGTGGTCCGCGTCGTACCCGGTTCAGGTGGAAAAGCGCGGAGCGGATGTCCACATGGCACAGTAATCCCTGCACCGTCAGTAGGGGATGGAAAAAAGGAGATTTGACCGCCGTCCCATCGCCCTTGTTCTTTGTACCACATCATCGTGGTGGGCGTAGTAGGTGTGACCAGGTGCACTTACGGATGGGGCGGGTTAGCTAGAGGCGGTTGAGTAGTCGGCGAGGATGTGGGGCGAGCCCGGCCTCGGCGAGGCGGAGAAGGAAAGAATGCGTCAGAGCCCTGCCGGGGTCTCTTGACGAGGCGAGGACGCAGCGATTGGTCTTTCCTGCTGTTTTACGAGACTACTGAGGACATAGACTTGACCTTCCACGCTGCTTTGTCCTTGGCGCGGTTAGTAGCATGTAGCCTGAGCGATCTGGTGTCGGCGGGGGGCACGATGATGAGCACGGATGGCAAGTAACCCCTGCTGCGCCCGGTCCTCTGTCCCGTCAGTCGTTCTGCCCAAACTATGCCAGTGTGCGGCTGACGTTGCGGGAGTAGTTGGGCGCATTAATCTGGACGTGACGTTTTGTCAGAGGAGCCGGTTGGGGTGGAGGTGACGAGGTTGTTGCCGAGCCCGGCCTCGGGCAAATCGGAGAATTGGCATCCCGTCCGAGTCCTTGCGGGGCGGGCCTCGGCGAGAGGGCCTCGGCGGGCGGAGGCTTTGGCCTTTAAATCAGAGGCCTCGGCGCAAGCCTCGGGCGAATCGGAGAATTGGCCGAGACCTCGTGGTTGTCTTTTGGCTTTGATTTTTGCAAGGCTTAAGCAATATTTTTGGTTCTTGCTTAGGGTACCCCTTCTTGTGGTATCCGACAACTGAGGACTTCTATAATTTGTTTTATTATTACTATCAAACACTCCCGTATGACATCCCAATATAACAACTGATATGATATCAATAGACTTTACTCTTTGGATTTAAACACCACCTTACTATACTAAGCGAGGCTGCAGCGGTCACAACTGCCACTTTGGAGCTAGTGAGCTACTAGTCCCAGCGTCGTCTTTGCTCGAGAGTGGTTCGGGATCTTCGCGCAGCCGAAGCACGGCGGCCGCTTTTAGGGCGTGCAAGTGCAACGCAGACACCTCCCAGTCCACTGTCCACCCCAACCCATCCACAGAACTTTCGATCCACTACTACCAAGTCGCTTGCTTTCGGTTCCAGCCCCCAAACTTCGCGAGCACGGGCCCCGGGATTGCGACATCGAACAAAAAACCCGCTAGATTTGCGTGCCACGGACCGCGAGCCGCACTCCAAGACCGGGAAACAACGCCCTATTCTCCCGCACCCAACCCGGCCCGAACCAGCCAACCCACTCCCGTGTTAGCCGCCGCCCCACCAAATCCGTCGCCCGCGCCCGCCCCCCCACAGGCGGGCGGAAATCCCGATCCCCAGCCACAAACGCCACTCCTGTCCCTCCGTCTCGCGTCAGCGGAACAACCGCCGGGGTGGGGTGTGTGGACTTCGTCGCGAGGTGGCGTCTCAGCGAGACGACCAAATCCTCTCGGTTCGATCGCGCAGCGCTTGGACCTCTGGGCGACCAGCCGCGCCCGTGCCTCCTTTTTCTCCGTCCCGGTCCCGGCCGGCATGAGGCTGCCCTGCTGCTGCGCCGTTATATACGCCAGCTCCCAAACCCGGGTGGCCGGGTCCTCCCGCGCTCGTCTCATCCCCGCAATACACCCGACACCCAACATAACGGCCGTGCGCCGCGCGAAAACATGCACCGCCTCGGCGCCTCCCCAGGCCGGCGCGAATTTGAACCCGTGGCGCTGCACGCTTTCGCGATCATCGGCCATGTGCACCCCAGCGGCGGGCGCGCGCGCGTGCACCTCAACGTTGGCGGGCGGGTGTTGAGGCGACGGCCGCCACGCTTCGCTGCGGGCGGGACACCATCTGGACACACCTCTGAACGCCTCCCACGGCAGCGCGCCGGCGGGCGGCGGAGCGCGCGGCGGCAATACTTCATCGACGCGACCCGGCATGCTTAGCGGTGCTGCTGGACCTCCTCCGCGCGGGCGGGCTCCACGTGCCCCGGTGTCCCCGAGGCGGCGCTGTACCGCGAGGCACTCTACTACGGCCTCCTCGACCGCGTCGTCGCGCCGCGCGCTGGGGGACTTCGGCGGCGACCGCCTCCGCCTGTCCGCGTCCGTGCCGGGCGCGCGCGCCGGGGCAACACGGCAGTCCGCGCGGCGCCCGGCGGCGGCTGCTGCGTGGCGCCTGGCGGCCCCGTGCGCGTGTACAACTGGATGCTCGACGAGCGCCGCCCGTGTACTACCCCGGCCGCGCGGGAGCGCCCGGCCGCCGCGGTGACGACGGCGGCGTGGCCGCCTTCTCCGCGCTCACGGGCGGCCTGCGCCACCGCTTCCGCGTCGCGCACGATCGCCAGCCCAGGTCGTTCACCGCCGGCGCGCTGGCCGTTGACGACGGAGGAGGCTGCCGCGTCTTCGCGAGCTGCAAGGGCCGGTTCAACGAGTACGGCATCGGCGTCTGGGACGCGAACACGGGCGAGCAGGCTGACTTCTTCTACGAGCCGCCCGGCTGCGCGATGGGCGACGCGGACAGGCTCCAGTGGCTCGACGGCACCAGTACGCTCATGGTGGCCACCATGTTCCCGCGGACCGACTCCTCCTTCATCAGCCTACTCGATTTCCGGGACAAGAGCGTCGTCTGGTCGTGGTCCGACGTCGGCACGCCGGCGTCGCTCGAGGACAAGCACGCCGTCCATGCCGTCGTGATGGAGGACGGGAGGTCCGTGTGCGTGATCAACCAGTACGACAACCTCGGGTTCCTCGACCTCCGGAGCAGCGCCGGCGGCGTGCGATGGCGGTCGCGGAGCAAGGTGGCGACGGGCGGGAAGACGAAGGCGCTCATCAGCGAGGAGGTTTGCTATCCGAAGCTCGCCACGTACGGCGGTCAGCTGTTCGCGTCGACGGGAGACACCGTCTCGGTGTTCAGCGGACCCGACCACGTGCTGACGTCGACGTTGCGCGGCAGCCAAGGCGGCGCCATCTGCGACTTCTCCATCGGCGGCGACCGCCTCTTCGCCCTGCACAGTGAGGAAAACGTTTTCGACGTCTGGGAGACGCCGCCGCCGGCGATCATCTGACTGTCTCACAGGATTAGTCGTGTTACTCTTGCATCGACGGTAAACGAATTAGTGACACAGGTTTCGACAGAAAACACACACACTGTTAACTTTTTCATCACTGTGAATTTTGTGATGACACTCGTTCTGCTTCTAGAAACGAATATGGATAACAGTGGAGCACTGTATTGTCATTCTCGACAAGCACCTTTCTTTTGCATTTCTGTTCCCTCTGATGTTCATTATCACCCAGCCAAAAGATTGCTGCTGCTGATCCTGAACACATCAGCAGGCAATCATGGGTTGTCGAGATCGTTGCGTACCTGATGTTTTGTGTACTGATTAGGAGGTCCCATGGGGCCCTAATCACGTTACATTATGAGAAATGCTATGTATCTTGCATGGACCGCACAAACTTCGGACGGCTTTTTCACCCTCGCCGTTTGCTTCCGTCCACATGTATATTAAAAAAACTTATCCGTTCGTTTCCTCCTCCCCATTCTTACCCCTTCCGCACTCCTCATCCCCTGCCGCAGCACACCAACGCCCCGCGTCCTTACCGGGAGCCCCCAATGCTCGAAGATCCGGCGGCCCTCAATCCCACCCCGACGAGATCCATGGAGCACGAGCGAGATCCACTCGCCTCCGGTGAGATCCATGGAGGTGGCGCGACAGCGTTACAGGGTAGTAGGCGGTTCTTCCCCATCCCGGTTAGCTGCGCTCCCTACCCCGACGGCGCCCTCTGTCACCTCGATGACCGAGCTCCCCCCACTCTGGAGGCCATGCCGCCGAGCCAATCCCGGTGTAGGTGGCACTGGCGGTGGTGGTGCTCGCACGCGCCACTGGTACTGGTGCTAGGTGGTGCTCGTGCATAGCCACTCATGCTTCGGTGCCCACCCCGTTGGCCGAAATTGACCGGCCTAGGCCTCTCTCCCCCTATGTTGCAAACGTATGTTTCAATTGTTTCAGATGTTTCAAAGGTATGTTGCATTTGTTTCATATGGATGTTGCAAAAGTAGATCGTGGGATGTTGCAAGTGTTTCAGAGGCATGTTGCAAACGTTTGTTCAAATTGTTTCATCTGTTTCCAGACGTATGTCGCAACCGTCTTGATCTGGATGTTGCATATGTTTTCACACATATGTTGAAACAATATGCTTCAAAATATTTCATTTGTTCCAGTCTTCTGTTGCAGCAAGTGTTTTTATGTTGTAAGTTGCCAGTGTTCTTTCTGGATGCTGCTTATGTTTTCACACATATATTGCATGCGTATATTCCAGATGATTTTTATCTGAGGGGGCCGGGGAATGAGGCACGGAGAGCCGGTGGCCGACGGACGTGGTGTGTGGCGCGCTGGGGGCACGACGGGCCAGGGGTGCGCCTGCAGGTGCGGGAGTGCGCCTGCGGGGGCAGGCAAACAGATGGGGATAGGGGCGCGGTGCGCCTAGTGGCGAACGGATGGGGATGGGGGCGGGCTGCGCGGATGGGGGTGGGTCAAGCATCAGAGCGGGGTTTGTCAAACGTGCGGGCAGGAGCCTGATGGAATTCATCGCGATCGGACGTCCGTACGCTAACATTTTCCTTACATTATACATTATTATTACCACGATGAACTTCACTCAACATGTCCTCCCTTAGAAAAATAGGAGCAAAACAAAATTGGCTCCCTAATTGTCTTTGTCTACCTCCGCAAGGAAAGAGAAAAAAAAGCAGATCTCTGTCTTTGCTCCAGCAGTGTATTTATCCACTCATCGGCCTCACGATCTCGTCTCATCGCCTTTTGTACTTTGTCAAGCTCCCCGCTAAAGAAGTCAGGCTAGATCCACATGAACAATTAATCGTATATAGCCCCCCCGTGTTTATGCTTTTGATGCAACCTTAACTGCTTCTGGAAAGCAATAGCACCCTTATATAACCGTTAAGCAGTGAGCTCAGGGGTCGAGCTCACCGCCACTGACGAAGAGCAGAGCATCCTCCAAATCTCCATGGACCATGCTTCGTCGGTGAGCGGCCGGCGGGTGAGCATTTGGCCTCAGGGTTGGTATGTACCACGCATCCGACACGATTCCTGAATCCTGAGGCATGCTTTCGCTTGAAACGTAAGGCACCCAAACACGGTGTCGCCGCCGGCGCGCCGTGTGCAGCGAAAACCTCCCTTTCGTCGTACCTACTGAAGGAAACGGAATCCGTCCTGACATACCGACGGGTGTCTTGTAAATGTACTCCTATCCTATCTGCGTGGCGTGGGTCTCGCAGGAAACGCTGGTGGTGGTGGAAGTTGTTTGCACATATCAATCTCTGTCCCGTCGTCGTCGTGCGTGGACGGACGGCCTCCCTAGATTGGGTAACTAACTTAACAGCAACAAGAGCCCAGACCCGGCACCCTTGTCTGGATGGCTACCAGGACGGCCGCGCGGGAGCCTTGCAAGCAATCGTTTGCTCGGCGCTCGTGAGTGTGCAGGAGTGGTTCGGAATTCAGCACCGGAAGCAACTGGCTTTGCTCAGACAGAAAAGAGTATCGTATGATACTACTACGTACACGTTCTAGACTAGAGAGGGCTTGTTGCCACGTTACCTATACCATCGGCAGGCAGCAGAAATACTCCGATTTCTTGTACTCCACAGCTGCTGAACCACTCCGGTAGAGTCCAATGGACGAGTACAGGAGTACCTGTATTGCTGCAGCAGCACGCACGGACGCGCGACTCGACTCTGTCAGGTTCAGGCGAGTAAGTTTGAATGCCATTCAGTCTCACTACTGAATAATCGTATTGTGATTTGTGAATGAAGGCTTTTGCGTTTTTTTTTTTTTGATAATGGGTGGCTTCTCATTACTCGAGCTGATTGTTCATCAGCATTCAGCAACCTCCTCTCCGGCGTGGCTCCCAGCGCTGCCTTCTTCTCCCTGCGTAGTGCATAGCAGCTACAAAAGTAGGGGATACGACATGAGAGAAAAATAAAATAAAAAGAATAAGAGTTATGTGACTGACATGTGGATCCAAAAAAGTGGAGACCCTATTCTAAGAGCTATTGCTGGAATTAAGTCTAGAAAATAAAACCCTCAAAAATAGAGACATGCCTTAAATCCTAGGTCTGTTTTTGTTGAACTATGGAAAAGCTGTTGTCGATTGTAAGTTATGGAAAAACTGAAAGCTATTTGATTGAAACAAGTATAAATTATACCTCATATCTTTATCTCTCTTGAGGCAACTATGAAAGAGTTCTTTATACCACTCATTTTGAAAAACGGAAAGACACAAGTCAAAATCAAGGTCTAAGGTGCTTACAAAAATGTATTAGAAAAACAGTTGCTTCTGGAAAAAAAAAGAACAGCCTCCACAAGCAGCCCCTTTCAATGGGCTTTTGATTTTTGAAAAAGAAAATCAGCCCCAAAAGACCAACCAAATAAAAGTCCCTAATTCTAGAAGCCATTGCTGCGTATGCTTCTCACCCGCAGCGTACTCGTAACAAGGAGGCCTCTGAGGAATGGCCGGGTGGGTGATTCGGTTCCTCGGGCCGGTGGGACCTAGCGGGCCGTCCCGCGTCCGCCGTCCGCAGCCTAGTCTCGGGCCGACGCCTCCCGCAACGGCATGCGCTGCTGACGCGCGGGCTTTTCGCGATGGAATCGCGGGCCGCGACGTGCGCGGCGACTGCGGGAAGCGGCTGCAATCATGGGCTCGCTCCCTTGAGAACAGCGAGACCTTCCAAGGCTGGGCTATAAAGGTGGGCAACGTCCCATGGTTCCCCTTTTGATCCAGGGCACGATCGGTGGCCCACACACGATGTACACCAGCTACTATCTTGACGTCTGTATTGACCTTGGGGCAAAAGATGCCATTTTGCTCACTAGTGAGGCTACTGTTCTTGGTTCTAGATGAGGAAAGTCTTTATTTCTCCCCTCTGAAACAGGAGGTGAACGGTGGTGATGGGAAACATTTGGGTGGGTGGCGATTATGAGAGCACCAAACGCACATAAGGTTCCCTCCACTGAGGCAAGACTTTATGCCTGGCCCTACTGTCAACTGGCGCGGACAAAGACAGCAGCGAAGGGACATCGACGAGGAGACGGGACGGGTCTTCATTTGTGAGTCTGGCTTCTTCCGGAAGTACGGAGTAGATTGCAAAATTCACGTGTAAATATCAGCCTGGGCACATTTAGACCGAAAACCGACCCGAACCGACCCGAAACCGAACCGAACTGTCGGTTTTTCGGTTTCGCTTTCTGGTTTTGGGAACTACGGTTATCGGCTCGGTGTTCGGTTTGAACGTGAAACGAAACCGTAGAACCGAGCAACCGAACGACATTCATCAAACTTCCTCTCCTTTTGCCAGAGCACCCCGGCCCAATTAACAGGCCCACTCGGACACTCCACCTTCCCGACCCAATCCACCCCGTCCGCCACGCCGTACACCCACGCGAGACACCCGAGGGGAGGGGCGAGCCAAGCCACTCGCCAACCAAACCCTATCCACTACCCTGCCTGCGGCGGCGCGGTGCTTAGCGTCTTGGCGGAGGCGCGGAGCAGCGAGCGCCGGAGAGGGCGAGCGGCGCGGCGTCGGCTGCGAGCGCAGGAGAGGCGAGCAACGCGACGGCGAGCGGCGCAGCGTCGGTTGCGAGCGTCGGGGCACGTGACCGGCGCGGCGGTGGCTGAAGCCTAGAGGGCCGATGTTGGCGGGGCAGCTGCATCATCTGTCAGATCGATTGTTTTTCCTTCTTTTCCTCCGTTTGTATTTTGTAATCTGAGATTCTGGGTACTTGGATCCAAAGCACAATCTCCTTGTTTGTTTCTCTGCTGATGTAGGTTTCGGTTTGTTTAGTGGAAACTAAAAACCGAACGTTTAAAACCGACACCGAATTGGTCGGTTTCTGTTTTCTCAAGCAACCGATCGGTTGTTGATGTCTACGAACCGAAGTTTTGAGAAACCGAACCGATTAGTCGGTTTAAACCGATTGCCCAGACTGATGTAAATAAGCGGGGGTAGTGTGGACAAAATGATAGAAAACAACAGTAGCTAAGCCTG